CCGGCTTCTTTGAAGCAGTTTCTTCCTGGGCTGGTGGAGGAGCGAGAGAGCGACTGAGAGAGGAACGAGGCGGGAGGAAACCGAAGCTGCTGAGCCAGAGAGCAGGACAGGCTTTGGTTGCTTCCTCCCTCTTCTTTCATTTGTGTCTTTGATCCCTGATCCCAGCAGCATTCACCGAAGGCGAAGAAAGCCGCCATTTTTATTTATTTATTTTTTCTTTGCGGCCCGGTAAAGAGTGCTCCACGGACCGGTACCGGTCCGCGGACCGGTGGTTGAGGACCCCTGCTGTAGGGTATTTAAAGAAGGAATTTTACTCCTGAGCAAAAAGAATTATAAGGATCATAAAAGGTAACAAATAGCAACAGCAGTTAGACTTATATACCACTTCACAGTGCTTTTAGCTCTCTCTAAGAGGTTTACAGTCAGCATATGGCCCCCAACAACCTGGTTTTTTATTTTATTTTCATTTTATTGATCTTGGAAGGATAGGCTGAGTCAATCTTGAGCTCAGAGTTGAACTCCTGGAGTGAGCAGTGAGTTAGCCTGCAGTACTGCATTCTAACCACTGTGCCACCATGGCAAATCCTCTATATCAGGGGTGTCAAACTGGCGGCCTGTGGGCCAGATGTGTCACACGTAGGCCACACTCACCCCAGCTACGCAAAAGGAAAAAACATTGTGATATGTCATGTGATGGCAATGTTACACAGCGAGTTTGACACCCGTGCTTTATAACCTTCAATTAAGGAAAAGGCTTTCACTGGGCATTGGTCCTGACACTATTAAAACTATTTCAAGGTGAATGAAATTAAGTTCCCAAGGTTTTACAGAATCTTTATCAGCCATGTTGCCCTAAAATCTCAAGTGACTCTGTTGCTCAAGATTGCCAGTAAAGGGCTAAAAAAATTACTGCTCTTTGTATGAAACACTCTTATTTATGAAATCAAATATGGGACAGTTACTGGGACCAGAGATTTACTCTTCCAAGCTTTCGAGCTTGTGCTGGAATCTGTCTTCAGGGAATATCTCGCTACTGAAATACATGTTTGGCTGTTCTGTGAGTCATGTTTGTGTGGTGCCTTCCTATTGGCTGATTGGTGTGTTGATGGCTGGCTTTTGTTTCCTTGTGCTGCCAATCCCTCAGCTCCTATGTATTTGATAAGCTGTGGTAATTCAGCATTCCTGTTCATTCTTATTTATGCTCAAATATTAGAAACTCAGATTAAAGAAACTATTAACTGACATTCTTGATTCTCTGATTAAAGTTGCTTCTTTACATATGACTGAAAAAAGTCCTTTAAGATGATACATAAGTAAAATCAAATTCTGACTCAAACCTTTTCCAGAAATATTAGTTTTGTTTTCAGGAACAAAGCACTGCAATCTCACTACAGAGTCCCATTTACTACCAATTAAACCACAATTAGCATTACCTTATTCGGTAGAGTACAGTGACAGTAGCTGATCCATCTATTTGGAAGGTGTAATTTGGAGGATACCAACATCGGTCAACCTCACTCATTAGTGCAAACATGTTGTGGTACAGAGGCAGGATCCCTATAAGGCAAAAGAGAAAGACGGACTTAACAATTTCCTCATTTAACAATGGTAACTGGGATTGGAATTTTCATAGCTAAGCGATGTGGTCATATGAATGTTCCACTCAGTTATATCATTAGGCAAATCACTGTGGGTTGTTAAGTGAGGATGTCACATGATCACCATTTGTAACTTCCCACTTGTTTCCTCATTGATTTGATAACGGGAAGCCATCAAAGAAGGTTGCAAATGATGATCATATAACTGTTGGCGATGCTGTGATCAATGTAAGTACAAGGAACAGTCATAAGTTTGAACAATCACTGAATGAGTGGCAGTTGAATGAGCACAATCTGTAAAGTCTTTATCACACAGAACTTGGTATTAAAAGATACTTCACTGGCAGCACCTGCAAGGTTTCATTCTTCCTTTGGATTTTAAATCTCAAAAGATGATTTTCTTTTCAGCAATTTTTAAATAAGAGATATAAACAAACATTATACAGAAAGGAATAGGACTAGATGTCCCTTCAGCAGCAGTCACCGTATAACCCCCTTTCACTACTGGCTTTGATTTCACAAGTTGGATGTATATTCACATGCTAAAAATAGAGAAGATAAACTAAATGGAAACTGTTAATGGTATATTTCTGCAAAGAGAAGGCTCTTTGGCCCAGTAGATGCTCATCTGATCAGAATGAGAGTTGATTTCCAGTAATTTTATAGTAGGCATAGGCATGCACATATTTGCACATGCATGCACACACATGTGTGCACAGACATTATGGCACTCCAATCTGTCCCAGAAAACTGCAGAATCCTTGTAACACTATGGGACAGTTCAATGTGAAAAACAGCATTACAAAACTCAGCTTCCTCCTGGACTTCCGGTTAGAGCTTCTTTGGCGACAGACCGAAACCTCGTCTCTCCGAGGCTTCAATCCGTGCTTGCCACTGGAGCGCCCCGAGCCGGCTGGTTTCGGGGCTAAGCCACCCCGTAGAGGTGGTGAAGAGGGGGGAGACTGCCTGCAGGGTTGAGGAGAGCCGCATCTCTCCTCCCCAGCTGGCCATTACTCCCTTTCCCGAAGGTGGTTGTAGCGGTGGTCAGAAATGGCCACCACAAAGAAGAACTCGACCTGAAAAGAATGTGCAGGAGGAAGATAAGAAGAGAAAGTTTTGGTTGACCGGGTCAAACAGCAAAAGTAACAAATAAGGTACCCTGGAATTTAAACTTAACAACATTGTTCCCAAAGAAGATTTTTAAGCTGCGAAGGAGAGAGAGAAGGGAAAGGATTAGGTTTTTTTTTCTTCCCTTCCTTATACTGACAGCTAAGAGACTTAAGCAAGAAACTGAAAAAAAAAATCCACTTTGACATTAATAGGAATCTAAGCTGAAAATAAAAGTCAAAGGGATAATAAAGATTTCTGGACATTTAAAAGTTTTTAAAAGCTGGAAAGGAGAAAAAAAAGAATAGAATGTTCTGAACTTGAAATATGCTGACTTCAAAGCAGCTGTTTCCTTAGTGTTTTGAGCAAAAGTCAAAATACGTGTGTTCTGAGAGTTTTGTACACAAACAATACCGCTGCATGTACCTTGTTTTGTTTGAGAATAAGTGCTTTGCTGCTTGTGGGAAACACAGATTACATATTGCCTGCCAGCAGTTTTGTGATGCTAAGCAAGTGCTTTAGTATCCCTATGTAAAATATATTCAATATTTCTTTGTCTACTGATATAGGCATGAACCTTCAAGCTTAAGTGTATGCAAGACACTTGATTTGGATGAGTTGTGTTGACTTTTGGTTTTCTAAGTTGTCACCCTCACAGCTGTGAAGCCCTATTCAAGACAGGCATCTTCATTTCCTGACTCTCCCAAGAGCCTCTGGATTTTTAACAAAAGAAGTTAAATGGGGGAGCAGTCAGTGCAGCTTCCTTCTTCACCTGTGCCGAAAGAAAAGCTCCCCCCAACGTGACTGATGCGGGTGCAAGAACACCTACCTTGAAAACTGTATGCCCATGTATCACCACTGCTACATGGCTGTATTGTCAGTTGGTTTCAAAGGGCAATTCAAGATTCCCTTTATTAAGCACTGACATATTGTGGGACTGAGGAATTACTGATTGATATAAAGAGGTAGTCCTTGGACTACACCCTAACGTAGGCAGGCAGCACCTTATAAATATTAGGTCCAAAACAAAAAGAAGCATGAATATCTTACCGCTCTCACATAACAAATGATAAGGATCAATCATGAGATCTGTCCTGTGCATGTTTATATAGTTTTTAGCGTTGTGCTTCCAAGTGCGCATATCACATCTTGATCTCTACAGTTATTTCAAAACTTAAACAGAGAACTCCTCTTATTTCTTACTCATCAGTGCTTTTAAGGTAACTTTATTCTTCTCTTAGCTGCTTTCTTCACTTCAAGCTAAATCTCTTCTGTTCTAGAAGCAAACTTCTAACTCAGCAGAGATCATGTTCATATTTATAATTCTGAATTTATATTTTATAAGAATTGAAATGATGTAATAATTTATCATCTTTAATGATGATTTAAACATCCAGATACTGAATTCAAGAGACTGAAAGAATTGGTTACATATGTTGGGCTTTTCATTTGAGCAGAAATTATGCATTCTAATTGTTTTTCTAGACATAGGTTGTTAGTGTGTTGTTGTTCACCAAATGTTTTGTTTAATCATTATACATCAGCCCCATAATGTCACAATTTCACCAAATGTTTTGTTCACCAAATGTTTTGTTTAATCATTATACATCAGCCCCATAATGTCACAATTTCAACAGAAATGCAATTATTGCTCCCTATCTATTAAGAAGAGAATGCTAGTAGAGCCTCAAGTAGGAATGTAGGAATTACCAGGTTGGGTAAGAAGTCTTTGGCAATACAGATATTTTTTTTAAAAACATCATATAATAGATATTAAAAGAAAGACATGAAATGAAATAGTATTTCCTGGACAAATACTGCCAAAAACTAGTCAGCAGCTCATCAAAATATAACGTCTGACAAGGCACATGAGCTAAGACAACAAATGTGAGATGTGAAAAGCTGCAAGTCTGTGCTAACTCTGAAGAATAGTATTTTCAAATCAATTAGTGCATTTTCAAATCAATTGGCACACTTCCATACAAAAGTTTGAGCAGGATATTTTGAGTTTCCTTGGAATATGTATACTTAAGCTTTTCCAGGGTATGTTTAAACAACTGAACTTTTATTAACAATGTTTATGGAATCCAATATTACCAAATGGATAATATTTAAACAAACTGTTAATATATTCCAATTACGGATAGTTTCTTCTGAGAGCTATGCAAAGCCTTTGAGTTCTGGGCTATTTTGGAAGCATTTCAATCTCAAAATGCTTCCACAATGGTCTAAAAATCCATTTTCAACCCAGAATAATGGCTTCAAATTTGAAATGAAATTACTTAAAATAAAATATGTCTTGCATACCTGTACTTCTAGAATACTGGTTTGTTATCAGTGATGCAATCTAGTAGTGCAACAAGATTTTTTTAACAGGAAGAAAAAGCTAACTGGGTTTATTTTAGCTTCTCAATTCTCACATTCTGCTTTATAATAATATAAAATGGGATAAATTCAATATATTCTATAGCAGAGGTCTCCAACGCAGAGTCCATGGATCGGCGCCAGTCCACAGCATACTAGATACCAGGAAGCACAAACATGTGAAGCCCCATCCATGGGATGCAGGCAAACCAAGTCTGACCCCTCTGGCCCGCAGAAAAACCTCTCTCCATGGAATTAGTCCCTGGTGCCCAAAACTCGGAGGCCACTGTTCTATATTATTAAAAATGTTAACAAGATAAACTGAATTATAATCCATTTAAAACATTTAAGCACACATTTTGCTATAGATCAGGGGTGTCAAACTCAAGGCCCGCAAGGTGCTTAAATCTGGCCCATAGGGCCGGCCTATAAATATCAAAGTACCGGCCCACGGTGCCTCTGGTGGCTAAAACGGGCTGTTTTCACCCTCCATGGCCTCCGGCAGCCTAGAAAACAGCCCAAAACAGGTCCCAAAAATTGCCTGAAAAATGGCCCAAAATGTCCCCAAAGCATCCTGGAAACACGCCACTCAGTTTGTTTTCAGCCAGCAGAGTGCTGCAGGAGGCATCTATCCTGCCTCTCCACCTGGCCGGCAGAGGACTACAGTGCTGATCTGGCCCTCAAAGAAATCCAGTTTGACACCCCTGCTATAGATAGTTAATTTTGATACAGCTAGTTAATTTGAAGTTAGAAGTTTCCAGAATACCATAGTAAATTATAAACACTAAGTAAAACTATCACCGCACGATTTAAGCATAAAATGACTTAAGGTTTTCTTTTCTGATCTTCACTTCTTCAATATGCGGATGATACCCAGTTATGTATCTCAATACTTGACTGACCAAGCAATGTTGTCCAAATCTTTCCCAAGTGTCCTTAGGCTGTGGAGGATTAAACAGGGAAGAATGGGCTTCAAGTCAAGATTGGGTAGGTATGGGTAACTGAACCTTTCTAGGGCCAATAACGTGACACCTTTAGTTTTTTGGGTATTCCTGCACAATTGGGAGGCTTTCTTGAACTCAGTGTTTCAGCCCAAAAGTGGAAGCTATGGCTAAGAAGACTTTTGCAGAAATCCATCTTGTGAAGCAATTGTACCCTTCCCTTGACTGTGAGGCCTTTCAGGCACTGACACTTTGATCACCTAAGATATAAACTAATAACAAAGGATAATATTTGTAGCTCGGAATGGAAATGAGGAGTCTTTGGTGCTCTCTGAGTTTGGTTGCTTTCTTGAGAATGTTTCATTAACCAAACAAGGTAACATTATCCAAGCTAGCACTGATATTACCTAGTTTGGGTAATGAAATGTCTGCAAGAAAACAACCAAGCTCAGAGAGCACCAAAGACCCTTCATAAAAATTACTGCAATGCAGCCTAATTGGAGCTCTGTCCTTGAAAACCACATAGAAGCTGCAGAATGCAGCAGTTTGGGCAATTTTGTATATATATCATCAGGTCACTGTAATAGCTTTGCTCCATGAGCTGCAATGGTTACCAGTCAAGGGAAGAGTATAATTCAAGTACTAATTATGACCAATAAGCCCTTTGTGGAATAGGGCCTGGTTATCTATCCACCTGATAGGACCTAGGAAACATATTTTCTCTGCCAAAGCTTCTATCTTCTGATACAACATCCTTGCCTTGAGCTATACTGCCCCTTTCCCCTGGATCATGGTCAAAAGAACTCTGAAACCTAGCTGTATTTCCCAAGCTAGAATGGATAATGGTCCCACATGGCTGATTGTCTTTTAATCATTGTTTCCTTCCAGATTTTTCTTTTTTTGGGGGGGAGGGCATTTGTATTGTATTATACTACTGTTTTTAATGTATGTTGCCTAGAGCTAGGTGGCCTTATAAATTATTTAATATATTGTATGAATGAATACTAATGAATGAAAGCATGAATATTAAATAATTCTCAGCATGTCATCGTTTATTTTTATGGCTCATTCAATTCTTTTTAAATAAAATACATCATAACCTTGTGAAAGCTGATGTATAAAAAGATGGTATGAAGACCAATTCTAATGTGGCTGAGTAGCAAAAAGAAAAAAAAATACACCTTGCTTTTATGTTGCTATTTGGTAATTCATATTGAGGAAATTTACCCTATTTGACTGGAAAAGAACAAAAAACTTACAACTACTAATAAAAAGAAAACTACAAATACTGAATTTTTGCACTCCTAGAATTTTCTGGATATTGCTCGCTGGATATATTCTGTAGCTATGCAACTCCCCTCCCACTCAGGAGCAAAAGAATAGGTCCACACACGAAGGTTCAATTAAACTGATTTATTACTTAAAACCTAAGCACAGGAATCTTTTTAAGGAATGGTTGGCACTTGTATAAGATAAGGCTCAATGGCACTCAAGGAGGGTTGGTTAGTTCTCATATGGCTACATAAGGATTCTGGGCTGATCCCTCTTTTCACTCTCCCTCCGGTTCTGCCCTCCCTTTTCCTACTCCTTTCCTTGACTCTGCAGAAATTTTAATATGGAAACTCAGTATCAATTCAGATGCAGAAAAGCATTCTGGCACTATGATTACGTATCTGGGATGAAAACCAAGTCAGACAGAGGATTAAGATACGTCTGTGACCTTTAGCATTCTTGCCATCACACTAATCATAGCCAAATACTTTCCCTTGCTGTTTTCTGTAGCAACTGCCAAAGTTAGCAAATCTTGTTTTTACAATGCAAACAATGCTATCTTGTTAAGTTTTTTTTTAGTTTAGTCAATTACCTGCTGCCAAATGTTTAAATCAGTGCCCCTCCTTTAAAACAAACAAGTAAAATTTGCAAATACAACTTGAGTTGAAAATTAGCTTTATGCAATCGTTTATAGGCATCTCCCTGCATATTTTACCATTTGAAATGTGGAATGTGTGTATGTACATACGAAATCTGTCCTCTCGCTCTCCACTTAATCATCAGGAAGGTGAACACGAAAGTTATCTACAAGAAGCAACCTGGATAAGTTGGGACTGTAAAATGCACGAAGTTCAACTTATTTAGAAACCACTTGTAGAACTTCTCAGAAAACATGCAAAATACACTGGGCAGGAATATTGGGAACTAGGCTTGCCTGCACCACCCCCCCCCCATTTTTTCAATACTTTAGGTCTTGTACATGGAAATCAGGCCTACTGTCCTACCCCTATTGCTCTTCTTGTGCAAGGAAAACACACACAGCAGGACAAAAACAAGGATATTCTTCCAGTGTGAAGTCAAGTTCTCCTGAGAGAAATTGATATTACATGCCAATAGGAGGCAGGGTCAAAGCCAAAAAACTTCATATCCATTCACACATTCTGCCATTCTGCTTGAAAACAGCCTGCCATAATAGTAAGGGTCGCCATTTATATTAAACCCATATTAAACTAATATACACCACTGTATTATATAGTATATAACCATGCTAAACTAATATCCATCAAATCACATTATAGCTTATTGCAATACATGAAAACAGTCAATGAGATATAAGATAGGAAGAGATTAATTCAGGTGCCATGCCATACTATATCTTGCAAAAAACATACTTTACAGACTCAAATTGCTTTGAAGATCCATACTGGCAAATATTAGGGTAAAAGGACCAAATTATTAGTTGTATATAATTTGAGACATGGTCCAAATTGAACTGCAAGAGCTGTGGTGGCGCAGTGGTTAGAATGCAGTACTGAAGGCTACTTTTGCTGACTCCTGGCTGCCTGCAGTTTGGCAGTTCGAGTCTCACAGGCTCAAGGTTGACTCAGCCTTCCATCCATCCGAGGTCAGTAAAATGAGGACTCAGATTGTTGGGGGCAATAGGCTGACTCTGTAAACTGCTTGAAGAGGGCTGTAAAGTACTATGAAGTGGTATATAAGTCTAAGTGCTACTGTTATTTTCAGAGTTACATTGGTAAATAAATGGTGTAGTAATATGACTTGCAAGTAAGCCAGCCATGAAGTTATTTCTTGTCTATATCAATATGGGCATTTTAACTGTTTGCCAAATTAAAGTAAATCAATGCCTCATATTAATTCTGCAAGAGGCGCTTCAGAAGACAGAAGTGTGGACATAGCATCTATCTGCCACTCCAAGCAGTCATTATCTGTCTCCAGAACGATAAAACTACAATGGAAAACTCCATACAACAGTTGCATAATCTTAGCAACACACATATACACTGCTCCAAACGTTGCTTGAACAAATTGCAGGCAAGCACTGCGTTCATGTTCCAAAAACTGCTACCAAATTTCTCACTGGATAACAAAGATGCCTGGCACTGTTCTCAAAAATGATTTTGGAAGTAACTGTTCAGATCATGTATCACAGCATGAGTTAAATTACTTTTTAATCTATTTGACATATGATACCGTAAAATAAAGGTAAGGATTTATGTCATCACATGTAACAGCAGTGAAGTTCTGACTAAGTAATATAAAGGCCATACCCTCAATCCTTTAACAAGATTCACTTAATCCATTAAACTATAAAATCTGATCAATAAAAAGATATGTAATATACATCTCTAAATTACAGTTCAGAGATACATGAATGAGCTCCCCCTTCCTCCTTTGGCATGATCAATATAACTAGCTATTTTATTTTAGCACTGTAGATAAACTTTCCTTAGTCTTATTTTTTATATATTTTATTTATTTATTATGAAATTTATTTGCCGCCCATCTCATATCCAATGACTCTGGATGGCTTATAACATAAAACCATTAAAAAACCTTTAAAATCATCTATTATAAAATAACACAGCAAACAAAATCATTAGCACAACATGGCAAAGGAGGGAGCCAGACACAGGGGTAGGTGGGAGGTGGGATTAGGTCATAATTAATCTACCACCTTCAGTGTGAAGCTCCCCTATTGGGTCCTGAAACCATCTGGCAGTTCTTATCCATGGTTTATTGAAAGCACAATTTCTGAAGCTGTACTATAAAGATGTATGTAGTACATTTGAAAGTGGTTTTGCAACTGAAATATGGATAAATTAGAATCAGAATTTTTCTGCTGACTGTGCCAGAGAAAAGGAGTGGGAAGGATTGGGAGTCTTTGGAGGAGTTGTGTGGCGTACAAACTGAAGAGAAAGAAGAGAGAGAAAGAAAGAAAATAAATACAAAATTTGTCTGAACAAGACTAATATGATGAGCTATTGTTGCAGACTGAAAGGGGGGATAAATTTCAGGAGTTGAACAGACCCATTCATTTGATCCAAAGACATCAACAAACAAACCCTCAAATGCAAGGTTGTTTCTTACAAAATCCTAACAAAGGAAGACAATATATTTGTACTTTAAAAAAAAAAAAAAGCTATGTTCTTACCGCAAGCCTTACAGCAGGCCACACAAATTTCTTCTGCAATATACTCTCCAGCTGGAAACAGTAGATAGTCACTTTCTGTCTTTCCTGCGGAATTATAAAGGTAAATTCGAAAAGGCTGTTCTGACGGTCGAGAAATGGTAGAATTTCCAACGATACCACCATTTTGATGAATAGTAGATGATACTGTTCCTTCCATATCTGTCACTGTAAGTAAGGCCATGATATCTTTACATTCTGTTCAGCATATCTTCCTGCAAGATATTAACATTAAAATCTGTAAGCATTTTATCTATGTATCTAGAATATTTTGCATTAGTTTTAGTTTATAGATTTGGTTTATTCAGGGCAGTCCAGCATTCCAAAAATGAATGCTCTCTCTCTCTCTCTCTCCCTCCCTCCCTCTGAAACTCTTAAGAATTTAACAAATGCTGATGATACAATTTTATAGGATCACTGACTCTCAATCGACCTTCTAAGTAATCTGAAGCAAATAATGTTTCCTATACTACAAAACCAACTTCTCGAAAGACTAAAGCCAGCAAAATATAAATATGTATGCTCTGATACTACATAGTAACTGACAAAAGAGATTACTGAGAATTTCGAAAATCCAACCATATTTAACATTTTTTCAACACCAGAAACCATTTGCAGCACCCAAATCAAATCAAATCAAATCAAGGCCAGATAGGACTTTCAGGACAAAAAGTCTAGTTATGCTTGAAGGGAAGGGTGTTGGACTTTGTTGTCCCAGTACCTTGTAAATGACTGTCCTTATTGCTTCATCTCTTGCAGGAATATTGAGCAACCTTCCCTAATGCATAAACTGAAGATGAAAATCTGGCATCCCAACAAATGGTGATGCACTCAATTGACACCTGATGTTGCCTTATATGAACATATAAGGGTTCTGTGCAGGGCAGGGTTCTGGTTTTTTAACATTTTCCAGTACTAACATATTTTATTCCATTCAGTTTTATTTTTCATCAATTTACTTTCCTTTGAGAGGCACAAGGCTCATTTTTCAGAACTTAAACAACTCACAATACCTTCTTCATGTGTATTGGACGACATAATCCAAAGTTCATACCATAATAATGTGACTGCTTTTAAAATGCCACAAGATATTTGCTGCAAGAGATCCTTTCAATATTGTCAAATGCAACTCTATTGTAGCCACTGCAAAATACAGGCTCATAAAATGGGTATCAGGGAGCTTTTATATGACAGATAAGGAGCTGAAAGGCAGCAAGCCCACCCACATTGAACTGTTACATGAAAAACTTTTCTATCTGACACTTATTAATTTATGTATACTTTAGTTATGTATACTGAATTATCTAATGTGTAATGATTCAGAAAAGAATAGCTAGGCTCCTGCAAAATATATGCAATTCTTAAAGATAAATGCTTCATCACAGTCAAGTTAATGAGTTTACAGTATGTTGGATACATTTGATATTAAGGAGAACTTTTGGATCTCACCTTCAACATGCAAAACATAGCAGTCCTGACTAAAATAGGATTTTAGATGATATTTTTAGCTTCAGAATGCCTTAGCCCAAATAAGCAAGGCTCTTTAATCTTGCACCAGTGTAGATTGATATGATTTCTGTGACAGGTGAAATTCTAGAGGAAAAAATATGTCAGACTGTCCAATTTTTCACCATAGATGGACCAGGTTTATGTTAATATAGTTTCTAATTTTATTCTTAAGGAAGGTATTTAATAATACTTCACAAATGGGAACAGGCCTCAATGATGGAAGCCAGCATTTGAGGTGCTATGATTGGACACAATGGCAAAATGTGTCAGGAAGACAATCCAGGAAAAAAAATAAAGCCGGCAGACTATAAATAAAATTTAGAAATGAAGTGCTATAGATCAGTGCTTTTGAGAGTTTTAGACATTTGCATCTCCGTTTATAACTGGACTCTGAAATGATCAAATGACGCTTGAGATAAAGATAGTATCAGAGTTATTAAATATAGTTGCAGATTGAGAAGGTAAAAAATTAAATTACTGCCCAACTATTTGTCCTTTTACTTTAAAATAATGCATCGTTTTATTTACACCTAAATGTATTTTAAGAGATAAATTTCTGATCACCTAATTTTACCTATGGACATCAAAAACATAACTGGATGGTTTTCAAGAATCCACAACAAAAAATCCTTCTTGCATAAGAAGTAAGAAAATTTCTAAGATTTAGGGACATAACTCTAACTCTCTGAAGAGCCACCAGAGGTCGTTTGATGATTTGATGGTATTCCTGGAATGAAAACGTTTGATGGGATTTAATGGTGAGTAGTATGCATGAGCCAAGCTATTTTCTGTCTAACCTAATTTTGAAAAATAGATTGAAATTTCTATAGTGAAATTTGGAAATTTAGAAAGAAATTGACGAAAGTGGGGGAATATTTTGACCCCTTTAGGCCTTCAGCAGCATGGTTTTAGAAGGCTACAAAAAAGCCAGGTTGATGAACTGGTCAAAGCCTCAGGCTAGAAACAAAGAAACCTTAAGTTCTGCCTTAGACATGAAGCCAACTGAGTGCTCAAGCCAATAATTATCTCTTAGTTTCAAGAAGAAGGCAATGCCAAGCAAATATGCAACACAGAAACACAGTTTTTAGAAATCTGTGATAATTTATTCCAAAAGATTCGGTTCCACAACTCAAAAAGGAGTATTTCAGCATAAAGATATACTGTATTAACACAGTTATAAAGAGGTTTGGGAAACAATCATACACTGTGTAATCATCAGTCTGTCAATTATAAATTCAAATTGAACTATGAACTATTCAACTGTTCAATAAATATTTTAGCAGATGGTAACAATCCTGAAAACAAGTGCTGCAAGATGTTGGTTATGTAGCCATGAACTGAGCAATGTGAGCAGCTTCATGTATTCAGAGTACGAATACTTGTGGGATAAAAAACATGCAAATATTGTTCTCATTAAAAAAAAAAGAACCAAATTACTATAAAAACAGACACCACTCTCAGAAACTAGAAAAGTTGGGAAATAATTCAATCCTTCCTTTTATGTATATCAAAAAGTAACATTTGGCTGTAAAGCACTATAAAGCGGTATGTAAGTCTAAGTGCTATTGCTATTAGGTTATAACATTTATTCTATTTATTAAAATTCATTTGCTGCCCATCTTGCTGCAAGGTGGCTCTGGAGGCTTACAACATCAACCTTTCCCTATTCCATGAAAAAAAAACCCAGCAATGAATTAGCAAACAAATGGTTTAGCTGCTTTAGCTAAGCACTCGACATGCTGCTAAATAAAAACACAAAGGACATTCAAGCATTAAAAAAAAGTTTTCTGTTAAAACAATTTCAGTATGCAGCATTTTTCATAGTAGGGGTTTTAATTAAAAATGTTATTTAACTTCACCAGCTGTGATCTAATAAAATGAATGAGGCCAAAATGGGACACAGAGCAAACAGCAGCTCTCACTCCTGTATTTAAACAGAAGTAAAGCAATGAAGAATATAGCATCCAGTTCTTTATTTCAAATGTACTCGTATTTAGAATTAAAAACAAATCTCCTTTGAATTCAAGTTTCAAATAAACTAAGAAATGATAGACCAAAATATTCTATTTAACATTACAATGTACCCTAAAGAAGTAAACCAGAATAAAATCTGTATTTTTAACACAAGTTGGCTCAACAGGAAATGACACTACAGATGGACCTCAACTTACAACCGTTCATTTAGTGACCATTCAAAGGTACAATGGCCCTGAAAAAAGTGACTTATGACCGATTTTCACACTTACGACCACTGCAGCATCCCCAAGGTCATATGATCAAGATTTGAGCCTTTGGCAACTGGCATGTATTTATGACAGTAGCACTGTCCTGGAGTCATATGATCACCATTTGTAGCTTTCCCAGCCAGCTTCCAACAAGCAAAGTCAATGTGGGAAACCAGATTCACTTAATGACTGCATGAGTCACTTAACAACTTCAGTGATGCGCTCAATTGTACCAAAAAGTCAGAAAAATGGATCAAAAATCACTTAACAACTGCCTTGCTTAGCAACAGAAATGTTGGGCTCACTTGTATTTGTAAGTTGAGAACTACCTGTGCTTTTTTCTATTCTCATGGAAAGAACAGATATTATAAGTCTAATTCCACTTTTCACTATTAAACTGGTAGTCCTCAACTTACAACCACAATTGAGCCCAAAATTTATGATGTTAAATGAGAAATTTGTTGAGTTTTGCCCCATTTTATAACTTTTCTTGCCACGTTTGTTAGGCGAATCACTGCAGTTCCTAAATTAGTAACATGGTTAAGTGAACCTGGTTTCCCCATTGACTTTGCTTGTCAGAAGGTCACAAAATGGGCGTTGGTTCTTACCTGATACGCCCCTTCTCGGCGAGCCGCAAGGAGCATCCAGAGACTGGGATGTGCTTCCGAGTCCTCTTCTTGCAGGCTGAGCTTTAGATGAGGAAACGCTCCGCCCCCTCACGTGACATCGCGGAGCGCCTCCCCAGTTTTTGCGATAACGAGAAGAGAGGTTATTGATTCTTTCTAATCTACTATTGGCTCCTTGGCTGAAGAAAAAGCCCCCACCAGACGGAGAAATTAGGGTGGGGCTGGATGCTCCTTGCGGCTCGCCGAGAAGGGGCGTATCAGGTAAGAACCAACGCCCATTCTCCCTCGAGCCGCTCGGAGCATCCAGAGACTGGGACATACCAAAGCTGGGCTGTCCTACGGGTGGGACTCCGTCTGGCCCGAAGGCCCCTCCGGACCACTGATGACCCTCTGTAAGACCCGTCGGCCAAAAGAGGCCTCCGCTGAGGCGTACGTATCTATTTTATAATGTCTGATAAACGGGGACGGAGAGGACCAGGTGGCTGCCCGACAAATGTCAGCGATGGGGGCTTGTGTGGCCCAGGCCGCCGAGGTGGCTGCACTTCTGGTGGAATGGGCGGTTATCCCACCCGGAGCGGGCAGAGAATGGGAAAGGTAGCACCTCGCAATAGTAGCCCTGATCCAGCGACTGATGGTGGAAGGGGAAACCTTAAGCCCCATTGACCTGGGTTGAAAGGATAGGAAGAGGGATTCCGACCTTCGCATGGATTGAGTGCGCTTAATATAAATACGCAAGGCCCTTCTAACATCTAGGGTGTGCCAGAGGACCTCCCTGCCCCTGGAGGGCCTGGGGCAGAAATTTGGTAAAATCAGTTCCTGTGACCTATGGAAGGGAGAGTTAACTTTGGGTAGAAA